ATAAAATTCTCTGTTTTTACCAACAATCTAAAAAGATTACTCTAATTTACCATGGTCATTTATAGGGCGAACGGATCAGCTTGGACAGGCAGCTCGAAAATCACAACAGCATTATCTCGCGCATTTCTCGTTCGCTCGGCAACTCAACTTTAGCCGAAGAACATCTGCGAAAGTGCTTGTATTATTTTGTGGTCGGTAGTAACGACTACATAAACAACTACTATGTGCCCGAGCATTATCCGACCAGCCGAATCTATACACCCGAGGAATATGCTTCGGTCTTGATCACACAATACTCTCAACAGCTCAGAGTACGTAATATATATAGTTCTGTTTTTTACACTTTTTTTTCATCAAAAAATATTAAAAAAAATATATTTTTTTCTGCAACTACCACAGACAATTTACAGAGATGGGGCAAGAAAAGTAGCAGTTTCTGGACTGGGCCTGTTGGGCTGCATACCCCAAGAAACCGGGCAGGGCACAAATGGGTCGGCTTGCGTGGGCCCCATCAACTATTCGGTTGGGTTATTCAATGCCAAGCTGGAAAAGCTCGTGAAAGAACTCAATCGCAATCTTACGGGTGCAGAATTTATCTTCGTGGGCGCCATTGTTTTGGAGCCGCAAGAACTGATTGCTTTAGGTTAGTGCAAAATTTGTGTGACCTTCCAAATAAATAATTGGATTCTCATTCAATTCCTGATCACTTTTATTTTATCAGGTGTGAGCTTGCTGAACAAACCGTGCTGCCAGGTGTCGAATTCGACGGGGCAGTGTATTGAGGGGGTGAGGCCATGCCATGTCAGGGCATTACATGCTTTCTATGATAATTTCCATCCAACTGAGGTTATCAACCAGTTTGTGGCAACTGCTGTTTACAGTGAAATTCTCAGATTGATTCATTAATGTTTGGGTTTATAGGTACAATCAGTAAGTTACTATTTGTATAGCTGCTGAATCTGTGCATGGTGCTCAATTAATGTATAAATCTTAAGAAATGTGTCCATGTTTATGTAGTTTCTCTGTTACTTTGCTGGGGAAAAACTTTTCTGTAGATTATAAATGCCCCCCTGTGTGTGTATTACTCTTATAATCCTCATATAGACAAACACATTGGGGCTCAAGCAGATATGTTTAATTAACTACTACTGAAGAAGACCACTAACTACTACTTAAAAATGTCCACCAACAAAAAGTTGTACTAACTCACATGATTTGGAATTTTCGTAATTAACCTAGCAATCTTGGACAGTGAATACAATTTATAAACAGGTTTCTGAAAAAGGATTTTTCCCCAGTGCCAAAAACCCCCAAATTAGAAGGAGAAAAACCCTCGGCCTCGGCTTGCCTCTTCACCGCCGCCGCTACTTCCCTCCTCCTCGGAGATGACCGGCTCCAGGGCGAGTCTCGTCCGTGCGGCCTTGGCTTCGGTCCTGATTCCCGGTTTCGAGCTATTCCCTCAGGCGGTGGATCTGGGCGTGTGGGTGGTGCTGCCAGCAAAGGTCACCGCCCTCATGGCAGTCGGAGCTAAAGCTGGCGCATTGATTTCCCTGGGCCGTCCGGAACTCGGCGGCTGAGACGGACGATCCCTTCGGCGGGCTGGGGAGCTATTTGTGTTGTTTTAGTTGTAATTGTTGTTTTGGTTGTTGTTGGAGTTGTGTTGGGGGAGACGACGGTTGTCAGGTCTCGAAGCTGTTTTCGGTGGTGGTCCGTTTGGAATAGGGTTAGGCATAGTAAAACCCTCATTTATACTCTAGCGCCCCAAAAGTCTAGCATCACATAGATGATTACCAATTTGTTCCTCTTCTCTAAAGGAGTAGGAAAAAGTAGTATGAGGGTTCCGGGATTCGACCCCACGCAGAGCATTCGGGCCCAGGAAAGGCGGTCGTGCTACCAACAGGCTATGCTCCAATGGGCTTTTCGTCCACTTTTTTCATTTCAGACCAATTGTATTTGGCTTCTAGTTCTCTTTATGGAATTGTTTTGTCTTATTTTTGGAATTTTGTTGGTTGCGGATGTTTGTATTGTGCCCCATTGGTTGCTGTTTGGAGTTTTGTTGGTTGTGGGTGTTTGAACCCCGTTGGTCGCATGTGTAATTTCAAAGGGGTTGATTTAGATTTTGTTCTGGCTCTAGTAGTGCCTTTACATCTCAAGTGTACTCTTTGTGAGTTATTAATACATTTCTCGTTTGGTAAAAAAAAAAAACTCACATGATTTGATGAAACATTCGGTGATTTAATTAGTCATTGGATGTTTGTTGTACACAAATTATTTTGTGAGAGTTGAGACATCATAACCAGGGATTTAAATATTGCACCCTATCAGCCAGTAATATCGGATACCGGTCATTGGTACGGTACAATTGCACACCGGATTTACAGTTCTACCGATTTGTACCGGGATCATACGTAAATACCGAAAAATATCAACCAATAAAAAAATAATAATTTAAAAACATAAAAAATATTGTATAAATAGAAGTGATTAATAATATATATTTTCATTGTTTGTATTTATTTTATTTTTATAATAGATGAGATGTGAAAAATATAAGTAATTATATTTAAAATAAAGCCTAAACAAGGTTTAAAATATGAGCTCCTACGATACACGCTAGTTGTTAGGTAGTCAGGTAGTGAATTAAACAAATATCTAATGTGCCTTCGTCTTGTCTTTGCACCGAGAAAAAAACTACTCTAATTTGATAATGGGGACCAGAACAAATTTCTACAAGAATCCTTCGTTTGCATACAACAAGCAATTCAACCTCAACTCCGTCCTTCAAAACCTCAATTGTACTCTCAAATTCATACTTCTGTAGCTCTCTGTTTTATGTTTTCAATCAATTTATTCTCCAATTTTCAGCTTATAATATTGCCACCGGAAACGCTCCTACCGACGAAACAGCCACCGTCGTGCAACAGAAGCGCCGCCGAAAATCGAGGCCACCGCCTGATCGACAGAATGAAGCGGAACATATTGATGGGCCCATGTCCCACCAGGAGTATATTGCAAAACGGAGGTGGGATTTCAGTTTTTGTTCTACTTTGCTACATTATGTGGAAATTTATTAATTATTGAACCCTATTTATATTTGTCTGAAATGGTTTGCTGGTAACCTGAAACAAACCATGGAGCTCAAAATCAGCTCTGTTTTTTCGTTTGTGATTAATTTTTGGGCAAACAATTTCTCAGTTGGTTACTTAAACTTATACTGCCGTGTAAAGGAATTAGGTCCAGTCTGTTTCTTAAGTGGCATTTCACGGTGTACAATATGAAAAGTACAATTTGTGTGGAAAGCAAAGAGCTTGACTGGTATCAACAAGATTTTGGATCCATGGTAATGCCATTGAGTCGTAAGCTTCAGGAAAAAACTCAATGCATTGTGGTAGGGTAATTTAGTGTTTTCTTGAGTTGCGAGGGCAGTTTGCTTGCATTTCGATTTTAACTCGTTCGATTTTCGTCCTCGATTACTTGTGTACATATGCTAGTCATTCTCTTAATATATGGGTTACATTTTTAAGATGAGGCATTCATGTTTGCATTAATCCCTGCATTTGTTAACAGGAAGGAAGTTGATTCATCTCAACCTTACCATGAGTTGACTGCAGATGTGCTGGTACTCTTACTTGACTAATTGACTTCTCCTAAATTTTGTACTTTATTCTTTCATGCATTGAAATTCAGATTAATTAATCCTTGCAGGAAAGTTCTAGTTCAGCTTTGAACTTGGTGGGGTATGAAAGTAAGTTCCTGTTGTATTTTTAAGTGTTTAACAATCATTTACTTTAGGAAGTTTGTCGTTTGATTTGAGATTTTTTAAATTGCATATCCTCAAAAAATTTGTTCATTGTGAGTCATTTATGAGGCTGCTGGAGTGCTTTTTTAGTTTAGTCATCACACTTGAGCCATAGTCCGCCCTTGAGTGCAATTGATGTGTTCAAGAGAATGTGACCTTTCTGTACTAGCAAAAGTCCACTTGCTCAGTTAAATTTGAGACAATTATGGCTGATCTCTATAAGTTGACTGCTGTCATATTGGATTCTTCTGGTGACATTTACATTTGTGTTATTTCTATTATGCTTGGATCTTTTGGTACATGCATTTACAAAAATACACATTCATGGAATTTCATTTTACATAGCTTGTATTGGAATCTGTTTGATTTATTTAATTACTACAGTGAAGGCCTTTATTTCTTGTACTTGTTTCCCACTTCTCTTTCTTTTTCCTTTTCTTTTCTAATCTTAAGTACTACTAAACATGCTGCTTCCAGCAGTATTATTATCTACCCGTGAGTAAGTAACAACTTCTAAGAATTTGGTATATGCTTTATTTTTTCTTTGAATCAGAGTTGCATATATTTCTCAGTAGCTGATAGGAATATTTACCAGCTTTTAGGCATTTCCTTCTAACTTAATAGCGTTATTTGCTTTACTTCTTTTTCAATATTTGCTTCTCTTTTAAGCAGAGATTAGCTTCTTGTTCGTTATTGTTGTACAACTAAAACATCATGAAATTCAACACATATGTTTTTATCTCCATGAGTAATGACCAAAACACGCAGGTGATAGAAGTTCTTCTGCTGAATGTGAAGAGGACCAAGGTTCTCCAAGAAATAAAGAAGAGAATTATAGCTCTGGAATGCAGTACTTTCCCATTTATGGTGCGTTTCTTTGATTCTCTTAACTGATCATTGCCATTTAAGTCACTCATGTATAATCACTTTTTCCAATGTATTGTGCTGTCAATTGAATAGTTGAGTAGATATATGAAACCAATTCAGACTCCAGAAATGATTGTGCTGGATGACATGGTTTACTTCTCAATAGAACTTGAACTAAACAATATCAGCTGTGCAGGAAGATATGATTTTTTGAAGAATTAAATCAGGTTTCGAAATCAATCTTGTGATGTCTATCTAGTAGCTAAGTGATAAAATTGTTAACGTTTATAGCTAGACTCTAGATGAATTTACTGTAACTTGGAGTTGGTGAGAAGTTTAATCAACTGATATATTCAGTGCCCTAAGTAATTCTCAGTGGCAAAATTCGTCTTGAATATAAGCCTGGTAGTTGGCAATTCAAAATTAACCTTGTGCAAAATGGATGAATATTTTCTTAAAGCTTATGCATCTGCAACTGAATCTGTTTAATAATTGTTGCACGAATGAGCATGAGAAATTATTATGTTCTTCTGGTGTTACTAATGGATTTGTTGAATACTAAGCCTGTGTAGAGAATGACCAAATCAAGGCAAGAAGTGAGCAGAGGTATCCTGCTCCAGGAGAACCTGTGTGTGTTGTATGTGGAAAGTATGGGGAGTACATATGTAATGAGGTGAGACCTTTGATTTGTACTTACTTTTTTACCTATATAATATTTTTTTTATTTTATTTTTAATAATTTCGCACTCGTATGTTTGCTACATCTTCATGTAGACAGATGATGATATATGCAGCATAGAATGCAAAGGTGAACTTCTTCAGAATAGTAAACTTCAGCAGGTTCTTCTTTTCATAAGCCATTGCTTCTCATTGTTTTCTTTTGAAAAAAGAAAATCTTTGGACTGCTAGCTATTCTTTCAGGAGCAGCCAATTGGTCAAGACCCTCTTGGACCTTTTTCTGCACGCAAATGTACACTGGAGGTGCCAGAATTTGGTGGGGACACTTGGGATTTTGATCGCCATCGCTGGTCCAAGAAGAAATCTGGTCTTTGCACTTATGAATGGTACACGTCACTATTTCTGTGCATTTTGAAAGATGACATTGAAAAGTTTTCTGCTTTTGCCTGCGAAGTGCAGAATGCTAGGACTCTTGATGTTGTTGCATTCTCATGATCAAAAGTGTTTACATTTTATTTTTATTTCTATTTTTTTTTGTGCTTATGCAGTTGGAAATGTCAGAAGCCTGGGCATCTTGCTGAAGACTGTTTAGTGTCGGCATCTCATTGTGATTTCAGCCCTGCTACTGAAGCATACAAAACTGTAATCCTTTTCGTGATATATACACATGCGAATTTTTCTATTAATCTTTTAAGTCGAAAGCTATGATACGCGTGGCTTCTTTGCAGGGATCGGTTCAAATTAAATCCAAGACAATATCTAGAGATCTTCTTGACTTATACAAAAGGTTCCTATGACATTATCACAATTTCATATGTTGATATCCAAATCCATCTCAGGCATCCCTTTCGTTATCCTCACTTCATCTGTCATGCTTTCGCCAAATTTTATATAATTCACTATGTGAAAATTTTCTTTAACTGATTTGGTCTGCAGATGCAGTATTGTAGCCTTCTATAATATTTAATGTGAACATTCTTGTTAAGTTGACCGGCCTGAAAGTGAGTTTAACACGGACTGTTTATACTTGCTAAGAAGCAAAACCTCCAAGCTTGTGTAAATGATATAAATGATTGGCCTGAGAACTCTTCATGGCAAGTCACGTCTTATTTTGGCCAACAGGATGCAATTCATAGTTTACATCGTCATTTTGTGTCTGTAAACAAGAAGAGGAAATGACTCATATATTTGATACAAGAAGTTGTATGATTCTAATGCTACACAACATTGCCTTATTTAGTCATTCTTGAAATGCAGGTGCCACCAGATTGGAAAAAATTATTTGTCTGCAAATTGTAATTCGTGTCGTGGGTCAACCTCTTTGGCCGCATGCATAAGCTGTGACACTGCATTTTGTGACTGGTAAGCTAGATATATATGTATGCACACGTATATGTGTCATTTAAAATTCCTTGGCTAATCGAAGGTCAACTAAGTTGGTGCTTATTTTCATTTACTGAAATTATTGTTCTGGATTAAATACCATATGAATCTTGCTTGTTTTTCCTAATCATACGACAAGCTATATATTGTTCTGTGCACTTCTATATTTCCATCACATTCTGGTTGATGAATATGGAATATTTGGATCCATATTAGGGGATTTTCTTTCATTCTGAAGAAAAATCGTTGTTGTTGCATAGATGCGGAAAGATCTTATGTTGGTATCATTTTTGCAGAATCAGATCTTCAGTGCTTATTTCTGGCATAATTTACTTTGTTGTATTATAAAGTTTTTTTTGAATTTGGATATTTGAGAATGGAATTACTGATGATAATGGAGCTTTTGCAGTGCAGGTCATTTGAATCAACATATCAGGGAAAATCCAACTCATCAACAATATTATTCATACAAACTCAAACGTCTGGTAATAATTGAATTGATATTTGTAAATTATGATTAGTTTTATCATACTGTATGTGATATATCAACCATGACACACTGAAATATGTTTTCGTGAAAATCAGTATATTAGAACTGTAAGGGCTTGAATTTTTGCTGTGGTTGCACACATTTCCTGTTCTTTTGTCAGAGAGAAAAAAGATCCCACCAATGTTGTGATAGGATTTTTTTTTTTTTTTTTTTTTTTTTNTTTTTTTTTTTTTTTTTTTTTTTTTAAAGAATACACCATTCACTCATTTTTCATTTTTTTCTCTCATCAATCTCATCATCTATACGATCTTCAAGAATGAACCAATCCATGACAGTTCCCTACCAAAATTCTCTATTTGCCCACTTCATATGCTCCATTTACTACAAATATGCAAAATCAAACTAATTGTATGTTGGCCTTTTTGTCTTTGTAAATGTACGTTGAGTGTGAGTATCTATTACAGGTCAAATGCTGTAAGTCAACTTGCAAAGTAACTGGTATCAAGGATCTCCTAGCTTGTCATTATTGTTTTGATAAAGCATTCGACAAGTTTTATGATATGTACACTGCAACTTGGTAAGTGTGTTCATATCTACTTCCCAGTCTTCTTTCTTGCCTGTTTTTTTTATTTTCTTACTTTCCTGTGACTTCAGTCCAGAATCATATGCCCCTTATGCATGTTTTTTCCCCCCCTCTTGTAACTGTTTCTATATGAAATTGAATGTGCTTGATAGGAAACCATCTGGACTTTCAATAATTTGGAATTCAATTTGTTGCGAAGATCACTTTGAATGGTTAGTTAGTGCTTCAACAGTAACCAGTGAATTTTCGCTGTACACATTCAGCATTTTCATTTATAGATTTCACATTCTCGTTCCTCAGGCACAGAATAAACTGTTCGAGCGCGGGCGTAGAGGACAGTGCCTACATTTTGAAACATAATAGACATGTCCCGAATGAGAAACATGTGCAACTGAGTGACTTTATATTCTGATGATGAAACAGAATCCTAATTTAAAGTGAGATCATGCGGTGGATCTATTGATGGAAGCAGATGTTAAAGACTCTGAGTTTTCATAAGGTCGATTTTGACCAATTGTATGGTATCTTGTATTTGATTGGTCTAAATAGTGCAGTATTCATTAACATTTCTTCAGACAAAATTCTACCTATAAACTGAAAATTCACTANAAAAAAAAAAAAAAAAAAAAAACACAGAACATCTTTACATTCTCAGTCAACATTCAGATATAAATCAGATACAGCACTGAAATCGCTACTGGTAGGAGTCGAACCGCAAGACAGCCGATCGTTCCCCATCTCCCGCCATTTATTAATGCACGCCAATTTCTCCGGATCCGAACTCGGAACTCGTTGCCGGCCAATAATTTCCAAGATCCTTTCCGTTTTCCCGAGCAGAAGAATCGCATGCCGCACGCTTTCCTCCCTCTGCTCAATACTGCTCTGATGGCACTTCACAGATATTGCCTGCTCCAAATTCGTGAGGCAAGCCCCGATTATGTCCCCAATCATGGCACTCAGCCTCTCGAACATCGACTTCCCACACTCGTCCGACTTGTCCAGCAAAAGGGTCTCACACACTCTATACATCGCGTTTGCCGCCAAAGCCTTAACAGGCCATCTCGCAGGATCGTACCTCAAACATCCAATTGGGTCCTTCTTACTCAACTCTACGAACTTCTGCTTGGCAGTCTCGGAAAGCTCCGAGATTACATTTTTCGGGCTCTTTCCTCGAAGCCTCGTCTCACGGAGGTCCACGTCGAGCCATCTATAGTGAAGCTCGACTCCCACCCACACGATCTCCGCTGCTTTCCTAATATTCGCCGAAGTTCGTTTGAAATCGAGACTGTTCTCCACGACTCGGATGTACTTGAGACCTTCGTTCACGCATTTTATGAGCTCCCTCACGGAATTGAAGTCCGAATCAGTACTCGTTGCAACTGCAATGCTCGTTAAGGTGACCACCGGTAAAGCCCAGCTCTTGGGGGGCTCTGCCGTAGGATCCAAAGGCGGGACTAATTTGCTGTCAAATGCATAAACCCCTCTGAACCCTTTGGAGGGTTCGAGTTTCTCGATGATATGTAGAAGGTGTTTCGGCTGCTTTTTTCTCCCCATTTTCAAGAAGTGGCCGGTGGTGTCCCTGTCGCTTTCCATCATCACTTGAACCAGATTTTCCTCTCCCTCGAGATGCATTACGTATCGGCTGAGGTCGAGTTTGCTGTTCGACTTATTCGGGTCCGACGACTCCGTGTCGGCACACTTTGCATTGCATCTAAAAAACGAGACGAGTCTCTTGCAGCAACTCAGTGCCGCGATTAACCTGCTCATGACAATTATCGACAGCAGCCCGAGAAACTTGCTCGAGATCACAATCACCTTCTGAACCAAAATGCATAGGTCCAAGGCTTTGTTTTTCACATGGTGCACAATCTTCTTACTGTGCCGACTGCAGATCCTCAAGTCCAGCGGACACTCCTTCAGTTGGTTCAGTGTCTGAACCCAGTAATTTTCCACCGAAAACATCGCTTGGGAAGAATTCTTCCTTCTCTTCGGGCACCTGAATTGTCCATCAAATCGAATTTCAGAACACAGAACACAAATTTAATTATTCTTTTAATCGACTCAAAATCCAATTACCTGAACTTGATGGCGAAGAACCATCTGGAAGCCGGCCCAATCGTCCCCACCAACACCGCAGCAGCCTGCGTCACAAGCACCAGCAAAACCGACCACTTATAATCCGACCGGCCTTTGCAGAACGTGAAGCACCACGGCATGAAGTAGCTCCGGAGCACGGCCTCTGCCAAAGTCAGAGCACTCAGCAAGCAGTAAGCTCCCGAGGCTGTACAAGTGGCCAATCGGCCCACCACGAACTGCGGGCTGCACGTGTGGGCCATCATCCAGTATCTCGCGAGGTCATCCTTCAGATCTGACGACCCGCTGCACTCTGTTTTCGCGAGTTCGTATTTCTTGGCGTATTTGAGCTCGAAGTAGCATTTTGTGGCTGGGACGGCGAGGGCCGACGAGACGGTGATTCCGAGGAGGATGAGGGTGAGGGAAATGATGAGGATGTGCTCGGGCAAGAAGACGTAGATGACGCCAGTGGCGAGCTGGATGGCGACGTTGACGAGGACGGTGAGGACGAGGATGGAGAGGGCGAGGATGTTCATCATGAGGTCGGAGGAGGAAGAGGAGGAGCCGAGGGAGGGGAGGGAGTTGGCGATGGCGGTGGAGAGGAAGGCGGTGGAGCTGAGCTTGGAGAGCTGGTCGTGGGGGCGGGGCATGGAGGTGTTGAGGTCGACGGAGAGCTTGACGGCCACGCCGATGAGGGTGAGGGTGGTGGCGTTGAGGGAGAAGAAGCGGGAGGGGAACCAGAGCTTGCGGTAGCGGAGGGCGTGGGCGGCGTCGGCGGCCATGGCGAGGGCACAAGCGGCGGAGGCGGAGGCTACGTAGGCGCCGATCCAGGGCATCGGCTCGTTGAACTTGGAGTCGTCGAGTGTGCCGACAGCCGTGCAGCCGAGTCGGCCCATGGTTTGGTTAGGGTTTTTTCGTGGTGATCTACGGCTGAGGTTTCTTTCGCTCTGGATCCTTCTGGTTATTATCAGTCACGGACAGTCGAATTTGATTTCTTCGTTTCTGACTTTTTCAACATTTTTTTTTTTTATTTTTTTTTTGGTTGCTTTTCTCTGTTGACGATTTCATAGGTGATGCAATTTTGTTTACGTTTGTGTCGTGCAGTGAGAGTTTGGATATGTGTGGATTATCTCGGAAATTGAAATGAAAGTGGAGGAAATATTGTTAAAGGAAAGCTTCGGTCGACGGTGGTTGGGGGTTGGGTCTTTCACCGGTTGAATTCATGTTTGTGAATGTGTGGCTACAAACCCATGGCGGCACTACCTATGGGTAGCATCGAACAACCCCTTCTTTCACCATTGTTGCCATGAGGCCCCACTTTCTTTATTGACTATTAAAAGTTGAAAACTAGAGTGCGTTGTATGTAACTATGCATTATATACATAGTTCATAATTTCATTATATAATCAATTGCTGATATAAATATTAAATTATGTAATAATAAATAAAAAATAAAAAATTAAGATAAATTCTGTTCACGTCAACCATAATAAAGGTTCAGTTAAATAGGGCAATCATGTGGATTCAAGATAACGATTATTCAACGTTTCGGGAGGATATGTGTCGATACACTATTGTTGAATAAGTGTGGAGGATCCCATATCCGATGGCTTCATAGCAAAATTGTGAATTTCTATTTCCTATTTTTCATTTCTCTTTGTCTTGTTATGAACTTAGGAGCCATATTTATGTATGAAAAAAATAGGCAAATAATTAGGACTTTGAGTTAGTTAAGGATGTAGGGAGATAACAAGCATCTCCATGCAAAACTCTTCTTTGATGATGAGATCGGCTAGACGATCACATTAATAGTTTGCTTGTCAGTTTCTACTTACATTGTAGAAAGATCGGCAATCTTCTTAAAGAAAGAATAGAAACGGATTGGCACCCAGACATGAATGTAGATAAGTACGATATTGGTAGTAGGGTTTCTTTGGCTGTTTCCTTTCACGATATTGGCCCATTTAGAAGCAAGCTCAATCTCCACTGTGTTTGAAGCATTTTCAGATTTAGTGGGCCAGCCCAAAAAGTATAGACAATTTTTATGTATAACAAGGAGGGCCCCAGAGTTGCAGGTGTATAGGAGATCGTCCGGTCGATATACGACTGGGAAGCTACTTGCTAATGTTGAAATGTGTGTCGGTTCTCTTTTTGTGGTCGTCAGATCTCTAAAAAGAGGGTGCCGGTTACACAAGCATGAGACAGGACATGATAAGGCGCCTATTGGATGAGAACATTAAATGAGAGAGAGAGAGAGAGAGAGCACTTTAGAAGATATGGTGTGTCTTTTCGGAGATGAGAGGGCGTCGATTCACGACTCTTGATATAGGATACCACACACGATAGAATAAACCCAATAAACCAGCCGGCTGGGACTAGCGAATTGGTTGGTCGGCAGAAGAACAAGCAGACTGAATGTAGGTCGAACGTGGATACAGGACAGTGAGTCCGCAGGTCGAGGAGGACGTTGCAGGCTCAAAGGAACAATGACAGGTTGAACTAGGGCACTCAGATGGCTTAGTTGAAACTCAATCTAAAGGAGTAACTGGTGGATAGATCGATCAGTGGGATAGGACACGTAAGCTCAGCCTATGCAACACTCTACCTCGAGGTGATTTGTAACACTCTGCCCAAATAAGACATGCTAATGGATAAGAAGGGATATTATCAGGATAAGGACCACATGAACCACGTGGCCTAACAGAATTGGGTAGTATAAATGGGAAGTTCGAGCAGCTCATCTTGGTAGTCTTGGGCAATAAGGTAACATATCCCTATATAAGAGAGTGAGGTATGCCTACCAGAATATTACAGTCTCTACACATATACAGAATTCTACTAGTGTTCATCATTTTCTCCACATTTATGACTTCAACATTGGAGACTCTATGCCAGAAAGCCCTCCGGCGTTGAGTTTGTGTAGGTATTAAAGGTCACCAACCGACAATAAAGGTAGATCAACTCGAATCCAGTCGGTCGGAGGTCTTTTACATACTAGTTAAAATATGATTATGTATAAAAAACAAAATACATATAAAAAAGTTATAAAATTTTAAAAATAAAAAGAATATTCATTTGTAATCATTAAATAAGAAAATGTAAGAGTGTTATATGATATCTTAAAAAAATAAAAGGTAAAATAATTTTGATAATTTTCAAGCCTAATAATCAAAACCAAACTCGTACATGTGGCAGTACGAAACAGAAACTTATACCAAGTAAATTTATGAAGCATACGAGTCTTGCCACTTAAGCTCAAGGACATTCAAAAATTGTATATAAGAGAATTTTCAAAATATTCATATAAAAAAGCAAGTAATATACTACAAAAAATATTATAAATAAATATAAATTTATTAAAAAAATAAAATCACCTAACTAATAATAATAATTAAAAATACTATCATAAGCACGAAACTAGTAGTATTATTTTTTGTTCTATAATAGAGAAGATCACGTTAACCCAAGAACCCTTAATTGGATTCGCATCTGTCAACTGTTTACATCCTTCCCAGTTCCCACCCCAGCTCCCATCCAAATTAGGGTTTTTCTCCCCTTTCCCTTGGTCAATTGGATACCTGAACCAATGGGCGGTCACGGCGGTCTGAACATCCTCCCTCAGAAGAGCTGGAACGTCTACAACTACGAAAATCGCGAGAAAGTCCGCCGGGACGAGGAGGCCGCCGCCAAGGAAGAGCAACTCAAGCGCGAGCAAGCCCGGAAGCGTGATTCTGAGCTCCGCCTCGAGAAGCTCCGCCAGGTCCGTGGATCAGCGGGCCAAGCATCGGCCCGATCCGCCGACGAAGAACCTCTCCCCTCCCCTGCGCAGCCGGAACCCGTCGTCGAACCCTTGAAATCCGATTCCGATTCCAAGCACATAAATTTGTTCGAAGGTATCCGGATTTTTGACCCGGTTAAAGCTGGCGATGGGAAACGAGACGAAAAGAAGCGCAAATTCGGTAGTGAGGATGATAGGCGTAAGAAGGTGAAGAAGGAGGAGGTTCGGACGGTCGGGCCCGAGGATGAGAAGTATAGGTTGGGGTATGGTGTTGCAGGGAAAGGAGTGAAATTGCCGTGGTATATGGAGAAGAGAGTGGCGGACGAGAAAAATGTGGATGAGGATGATGACGACAGGGAAGAATATTACAGCACCAAACACAAGGAGAAGAGAAAGAGTGGTGGGAAGAAGACATTGGAGGAGTTGAGAGAGGAGAGGTTGAAGAGAGAGAAATCAGAGAAAGAGAGAGAAAGGGCCTTGTTGATGGCGAAGTCGAAGAAGGATGGAGGTTTTTCTTCCAGGAGCCGAAGGAGGTGAATACCGTGTATTGAATTTTGTTAGTATAAGATTGGCAAACTTGTTGGGTTCTGCATGTACCTTTGTTTGTTTCTGTGTTCTGTGGATAGTTATAGCTGTGTTCGATTATTACGGGAGTTTAAAATGGAGTTGGTTGGTTGTGTTTGAATCTTGATACCTTTGAATGCATATGCACAGAATAAGTTTATTCCACTTGAGTTGGGTTATCAGCAGCAGGATTTACTGAAAAAGTCCTTGCTCTCACCTAACTAGCTAGCTTTGCCTGATAAAATTTCTCTTTGCCAAGGAGAAGACCGGGTTAACTTTTTTGATTAACAGAAGCTAATTTGAGAAAATGTGAAGATTTTTTGGATTTTGCTCACACGATCAGCCATTGGTTAAACATAAACCATTATAGCTGAACTGGATCGGGTTCAAAAGGTGAATAGTAACTGATTGCCATTTAGCGAAATCGTTACTCAATTCCCAAAGAATGTTCGGATGAGCCCTTGCAACTAGCTAAAAGCCCCCTTCTTTATTCCTAGTTGTCCAAAGATTCGAGCAGCATATTCTGATTCAAGGGCAAACTTCTTCAAAGGACATCCTTGTTCCAGCCATGTAGAAGATTGTTAAACGACACGTTTTTTATGAACTCAAGTACCTCGTCTTCTCTCATATTATCTCTTAACCCGAACTAACATATCATCGAAAGATCTTAAGCCGGGGGCACACAACAAGCCCATTGTTCTCTGTTTTAACACATTTTCCAATAGTACCTGAAGTGATTTAAGGCAAGGTAACATGGCTTTCAGATTTAGATGATTTGTTTAATCAAATCCAAGTATTACTGCCACATTTTAAACTGTGAAACAAAATGGGTAAATGTTATAATGTCCAAACTACTTTACACCTTTGAACCAATTTAAAAAACCTAGTTTCCACGCCTGTATAATGAAACTACTTCTTTTATCCTGTGTTTTGATTCCAATCTTATCTTCAACTGAGAAACAACCATTATTATAGAGAG